ACTCGAAGAGGCTTCACACCTGAGCCTTGCTCACCTACTGAGTACCGACACGGCGCAAATGTCCTGCCAGGAGGGGCTCCGATAACTGCACGAACTCTTCCTTTAGCAGCCTGCCTGAGCAAATACTGATAGATACCTTCCGCCAACAGGTCTTCGGCTGTGTCAACCGGCACATGGATTAGCCCGTGTTTCTCGGACACTCGATCAAAAGCCTTTCTGCCCTCACCACAGAACAGATGAACAACTAGGCCTTTCGCACGCTCAAACTTCCTCCGCATCCTTCTGTTCCATGTGAAAGACTCACCAGCTGGATCTTGCACAGATGCAACCGCCTGCTCCCTCAAATCACTAGGCGTATCCCCAAACACTTTCTCAACCAGCTTCTTTACAGCTGCGTCTGAGTGCACATCCCGACGAACAATCACATCAGCAAGCTCAGCATTACTCAATCCAGCTAAATCCTTCATCAAACAGTGCAGTCGTGCACAACGACTCTCCCCGCGCTGCACCAAAGCCTCATATTCCCCGATAAGTTCCAAGGCCTTCTGCTCAGAGATTTCCGGGCAACCAGTGCTAACATCCGTATCCAATACACCCCGCGAAGGATGCCAAATTCTACAACGAGAAGAATCCCACTCCACCTTGTAGCCAAGAGCTAGCAACGCCCGAACAGAAAGGATCGGACTCACAAACGTCTTGCTCAAAAGCGTTCCTTGGGGATTTACCAACAGCGAGCATTCGCCACATGCTAGTCGGACTACAACACTTGGCATCTCCATTTCATGACTCAGAGCTGTCCTTAAACATGCAGTGGCACCGCCATCTATCAGACCACGCGGCTCGCCTTGTTGAGCTTTACAGAGCACTTCCGTCGCAGAACGAATGTATGGCCTGATCGCCGCAAGCCTCAAGCTTTGAAGCAGCTGGGCTGCCTCTTTTATTGCATCTTCAGAAAGCCCACTAGCTCCCTTCTGTGCTCCTCCCGAACCCTTTGGTCCCTTAGGTGCACCCTGGTTGGGCTTCCCACCCTTCGGCTCACCCCCTGACGGTTTTCCCTTCCCTTTTGGAGTCTCTGTTGCAGCAGGTTTCTGGGCATTACCCCCTCCCGGAGCTGTACACTCAGCCTTCGCATGTGACCCTCCGCATGTCCAGCATTTCCCTGGGCGATCTGCCGAATGAGAGAAGTTACATGTTTTCCCATACTTACACCCGGCATCTGTGACCCACCCTCGACATGGAAGCTTGGATTTGGCTTCGGGCTTCGGCTTCTCGGGAGTTCCCTGGGCCTCGGAACCCTTTTCAGACGACTTGTTTCCACCCTTTCCTTTATCCACTGCTGCTACACGAGGACGCTTCGCTGATGTATCCGGCATTGCAACGGCTAACAGCTCAAACTCAGCTAGGAGAGTAGTTACGTACTCTTCCACGCGCTCATGAGTCGGAACTGTATCCAACTGCAGCTGCATGCGAACACTGTGCATTCGGAAGGACAGTGCAGGATGAGACTGCAACAAGGTATGCACGCTCTTGTCCACGCCTTGCAGTAGCAAAGAGCTATCCGGAACTGAGATCGACATGGTATTAGCACGCTCCAGATGCCTGAACCATTTCTGAAGCCCTCCAACTGCCGACACAGCAGTATCGAACACCTGCAGTGATGTCAGGCCACGCAGCAACTCAGCCCTCTCGTTTAGACCACCTGGTTGATAGATTCTAAGCGTGAGAAACAACAGTCCTACACACGAGACGTTGCGACTGGAAAGGGCTTGTTCATATACAACATTAGGGAGGGCTTTAGAGAGCATAGCAACCCCCCTCGACTCAATCCTGGTGAACATGTCTCCCTGAAGAGTGCTACTTGGCTTCCCGACAATCTTGGCACGATCCAACGGTTTGGCACTCGACCACTGCAGATAGGCATCCTGGGATTCCTTCAAAACCCTCGCCCACCAAATGTTTGCCCTCGGCGCTAGATCGCTCATGAGAGGACCGATCTTATATATCCAGTCGTTGCATCGCATGGCTGGGTTCACCTCAGAACTTGGCGCAGCTAAAACCGGCAACTCCCAATACGTACGATCCCCCGGTACAAAGTCTTTCAGCCCTGAACTAAATTCCAAAAGCCCATCACCCTGACCACTGCCCTGAGCAGCCTGAGTTTCGCCCACTACAGGTGTCCTGGGAGGCGGCCCTGGCGGCAGTCGCGTTCCCCCCGGCGTGGCCGGTGACGCATTAGGATGAGACCCTGACTGAGGCACAATCCTGGAAGGACTCGGCTGAGGTGACCGACTAAACTTCCTTGAGTATCCCTGCCTTACACCAGTCGGAGACCTCTCCGCATTCCTTACGGTCCTACTCGGCCTATCTACAGGAACAGGGGGATGTGGTGGCGGTGGTGGAGGACTACCATCGGCAGTACGAAATGGAGACGCTGCTTGTGGGCTCCACGGGCCCTGAGGTTTTCGCGGCCTCCCTACATTGCACGGAGGTGAAAGCGCAGGTGGCACAAATGTACCTTCAGGCTCTACAGGAGGAGGGGCAACCACGTCACTACTCTCAAGAGCATAGTACTTAGGTGCTTCTGGAGTCAAGATCACCTGACCCTGATGATCATAAACCCCTTCCCTCAACACTCCGTTTATCCAAACCTGTACCTTCCTACCTGCTAACCCACTCCCATCTACATTTCCATCCTGCCGCTGGCGCGATTGGGTCCGCTGCACAGCTGACTGCATCACAGGCTGGACCCTTGGATCCTGATCAGTTCCTTCGGGACTAGGATACATTTGCCTATCTTGCTGGCGCGAGTGAGTCCGCTGCACAGCTGACTGCGTAGCAGGCTGGACCCCAACACTATCCTCAACCTCCATAGGCCTCGACCCCTGAAGATCTAGATCAACCTGAAACCAGGAAGGGTGCACAGCAGACAACTCACCTGGACCTTCTTCCAAGGATAGATTCTGGATGGCACGGGTTGCCTGAAGAAACTTATCCCCTGGCCCAACGCTTGGCATTGCAGTAGGCATAACATCATCTCGGGACTGTTGAACGGAAGCTCGAAGAACGTTATCCCCTGGCCCGGCACTTGGCATTGCGGCTGGCATAGCTTCATCTCGGGATTGCTGGAAGGACGTCCACGGCGGACTGAAGACTCTGGAGCGGCCGGCATTCAGGTCTATACCACCCTGATTACCTATACCTTTCCCAAGCTTAGCCTTACGACCAAGAGCTCCAAACCCTCTTCCCTCAGCTACCTGGGCCAAACTGGGATTCCAGGTTGGCTCAGTGTTCCTTGCTACGCCTGCACTACTCTCGCGACCAGGAACTACATCTTCTACTCGGCTACCCGCTTTCCCGATAGCAGTAGCTCCCTTAGGAACCTCTCTACCGCTCTGGCCCGACTCAGCTGAGCTCCTCGAAGCCACATCTCCGATCTCACGCCTCAGCAGCTCATTCTGATCCATAAGTTGGTGTACCAGCCGTTCCAGGAGTTCCACTCTCCCTTGCGAATCAGACTGCTGTCCCAGCTGGCCTTGAAACAAAGCTTGCAACGGAAGAACTCCGCCCCTTTCAGGTTCACGGCCTTGTCCCCCTGAAGCATGACCCACATCAGGCACCACACCATTGATCAAGACCTCTCCAGAATTCACACCAGGCTGTAGACCCATTTCAGGATTCTGAAATTGTCGTTGATCCCGACCAGCGGTCTGGACCCCGGGAGACTGCTCCTCTCGACCATCCCCTTCTGGAGACGCTACTCCCTCGACAGACTCGAACTCATACTCAGGCTCAAGCCCTTCAACACCGGTCAGCACATCACGCGCTTGCTGCTCAGGCGTCCTCTGTCCAGCACCAGTGTTACCACCATCATCGATGATTCTGGAAGCCTCCTGGAAAAAACTCCTCTCTCCAAGGGATTCCGGTCCGCCTGAGCCCTCCAGGTTGTTCGGATTCAAGAGGGTATCAGGTCTTACATGCCCCTGCTGGTACTGCGGCTCATCAGCAGACCCAGCGGATTCCATGGCGGAGGCGCAGTGTTACGAACCACTTGGGCTCATAACCTGCCCGTTGGGCAGGCAAGAACTCAATGCCCGACCCGACTGCCTTTTCCCGGCAGCGCAAACTCTCACGAAACGAACTGTCAGATGCTACCTGATCTGTGAAAAGAATCTGTTCAACTCTAAGCTATTCTGAGAGAAGTGAGTCTGGAGCCCTAGCAACTGGACCAAACCGGACCTGAATGCCCTGACTCCATGCCTTTGAGCAGCATGCTCTGCACACGAACTGCATGCCTGCACATCCACAGTCAAATAGAATAGGGTTTTGGGCCCATTATACTATCATTAGAATAAGGAGCCCACCAACCCCCCAAACCAAAAAACAAAAAGTATTGGTCGTTGTTTAGGGCACCAGCTATCTTAAGAAAGAGTCTCAGATGGGCGATTACATACGAGTACACGCCTGGCTATGATTTGCAACGTCTACCTGGTCTCGCCATCCCGAAACTGCAACCCACGCAGCCCAACAGCGGACACCGTCGTCGTCATCATCATCATCGACATCAGCAGCCGCAGCATCAGCATCATCTCCAGCATCTGCATCAAACATCTGACCCTCACGCTCATCCTTTGCCACTCCACCTTCACCATCATCTGCAACGCCACCGTACCATCATCGTTAGGAAGTCAGAACATGCAGGGCGTCCTCGTCATGACTCTTGTCCATCGTCATCTTTGGCAATGACCGTCATCGTTCACAGCAGCCACTGCATATGTTTTCATCAGGCATAGCTACCGGACCAACAACGAAGACGACGACCACCATGACCACGACCACGGACGACGACCACGTCGGCAGTGTGGTTGCCATGTTGCGGGCACTCAGAATCATCACCACCACCGCCGCTATCACTGCCGACCATCATCTTCCGACGTTTCACTATCATCACAAACCCTAAAGCGTATACCCTACGTCCCTAAGTCCTACACCGACATCCATCATCACAGTTCTCCTCCTCTTTCGGGAGCCTTCCAGCGCTTGTCGGGCTTCGGCCGGAAAGGCTCCTGATGACAAAAGGGTCGGGGCTGAGGACTTTAAGTGGTTCGATAAGGGTTTTGTTGAGCCCCTTTTTAATGTCTGCCAGAGGGGTTTAGGGCTTCGGGTTCGAACGGACATCATGAGAACTAAACCCTACGACAAGAAGCATGCTAACTAAGCTCCAATCAACCTCAAAGAAGCATTGACCGCTACATCCTCACCCGGACAGCCTGGAACCATGTAGCCTTAAAACGCACCCAACCACAAGCTTCAAGAGCTCCCGAACTCCCAATTCAAGCCTCAAACCCTTCGCGAACACCGCCTCCTGCACCTTCCAAGATACCACTGAAACAGGGCCGGGTGCGTATGTGTATAATTGGATATAGGGAAGTACAGTTAAATAGGGACTAGAAGGTGATGCTAACGCTTACATTTGGAGTTCAACTTTTGGGATCTACGGGTCCCATGGGCTTGAGGGTATATCAGCTGTAGATAAATCCCGTGTCATACGTGAGTCATAAGTGATTGCTCAGAGATTTGTCGGATGAGTCGCTCACCTGGCTTGTAAAATGCAGTAGACGCTTCAACCTCTAAACCCCCAAAATGCTGACTCGAAAACCCAGCCCTGTGTGTCCTCTGGCTGCGACGGAAGCGAGAAGGTGTAGAAGGGGTCGTCGAGGTCCTTCCCCCGTTTAGGTTTCCGAGAACCGCCGATTACGTCTGCCAACGCCAGCACTCGAACTAAGAGTACCTACTGAGGCAAGCCCTGAACTCCTCTTCCACACCGCCCCACTTACAAAGTCCATGAGTCCAACGACAAACGGAACATAATAGCAAAACACAACAACAGATCACAAAAGATATACTACAAGCCATATTAAACTCCATAACTGATGATGATGGTGAGTTGCTAGCAATGGAATATATGGTAGTCAATTATGTTGATAATGGAGCGAGTACTATAGAGCTACATTGCTTATAAACGAAACCGCCAGACAGCGTTTGAATCCTTTGAAACTGATAACGAATAGTTCAAGCGGTCAAAAATTTTAAATCACTAGTTGGATACGTCCAAACACACCGGAAAACATGCCCCTCACACTGTGGTTTTAGGATTTCATGCAATAACAACACTGTCGAAAAGCTGATTTTACCATTTTGTTTGTGGCCTGTTTCTGGTTCTGTCAGGGCAAACCACACAAAATTCGGGGTGGCGAAATCGCGTGAACTAAATACGCAGTCATGACTACAACCCTAAACATACCGCTCAAGCAAAACCGAAGCCACAGCACCCCTACGGACAAACATAACAACTAACCTATACCGAAGACTAAACCCTAGGCGCTAACTTACGACAGTTCTGGACTTTTGCATTCTCGGTGGTAGGAAAAGCCGACATCCGACGCTTTCGGACTTCTGCGGCGTCAATGTTTTGAAGAGCCGACAAGAAGGATCAACAGCAAAAGCCTAAGCCTTTTCATTCCCCAAGCCTATCATCCGACACTTTGGCACTTCTGCGCCTTCAACGAACAATCCGACAATTTCAGATTTCTGTGGCTCTTCAACCCCGCGAAAAAGGCAGACTGCACGCAAGGCACAAAGTGGCGTGGAAGACGATACAAGTTTGGCAGCAGGGCGTTTAATGATCATGATAAGAACAATAGTGAAGATGGTAATCGTCATCATAATACTGACAACAAAAACCTAGTGGTAAAAATAAATGGAAGAACGGAAGCAAACATGTTTGGGGATTCCGCGACACAGGGTATCTTGCAGGGTCAAAGCTTTCGTTTCGAATTGGGTTTGGGGTTGAGGGATAAAAGGTTTAAGAATTGATGACTCGATTTTGAAAGGTCCAATCGGGGTGCCTAAGAACACGTTGCCAGATTTGGGGAAGAAGGTTCAAACGAAAAAGCCGCAGGGAAGCAGGCGGGAAAAGCTGGCGTTGCCGTGCAAACGTAAGACTTTTGCTTCGCATTCCTGGCTTTGGATGCTTAGTTCTGGTATTTTGAGCTAAGACGCAGAAAATCAGCCAGCACTGCCGGTTGGTCATCTCAACTTGTTTCTGGTATCTCAAGCAGCTTTGCCGCGCGTGCGTCATTGTGGGCCTTGTGGCGAGACGCTCCACCTGGCGCGTCCAGGAAACACAGCAGGTGATACTGTCCTGGCCCTGGGCCAGCATGCCCTCGCCCAGCAAAGCGAGCGCCGTTCGAAAGACGTGGCTGCGGTAGTTCTCCAATCATTCATGATAGAAGGTGGAGAGGATATATTCCCATATGCCCTACTAACCACTGGAAAGAAAAGGTCCTCAACCGAGAGAAAGCTCGTCAACGACAGCTTACCAGCTACCAGTACGACCAATGAAAACAGTACCGGCGCAGCACGACAGTACTTCCCTAGCAGCCTGGGTATTGCCTTTTGCCAACCAGGAAAACGGCCTAGCGGGTGTAGTGTTCATGCTTAGCCGGGACCTGGGACGGCGACCAGGGTCCAAATGCAGCCAGAGTTATAGCGTTGTAATTAGAAGCTTCATAAGCATGCTGTCTACTACTGGGCCTCGATCACTAGAACACGGTGTGCGACGAAAAGCTGAACCATACTGCGGCCTGGCAAACGCCGAGTAGCTCATGCTGGGGACGGCTGACTGCGTTCCCCAAAGCCCCAACCGCCTAAACCCCTAGCCTTCAGAATAGGGGATTTCGTGGTTGGGGCTGAAAGGCTTCGGGCTGGGTAGGAAAATGACAAGAGGTATCGAAGCGTCTACTATACAGGCCTTAATAATTAGAATAGCACTTTGGGGCCCATAATACTATGACTGTAAGAAGGAACCCCCAAAATAGTATAGGTAAATATTAAGCCCCCTATATCATAGGACCCTACTATAGATCCCTCACAGACCCCTTTAAACCCCTTAAAGGAACCCCCAAAATAGTTAGGTAATTATTAAGGCCCCTTTGTTACACCACCCGACGGCAGATCTTCCCAGACCCTCCTCGACGCGAAGAGCTTCCACCTCCACGTCCTTGTTGCCCTCCTTGGCGAGTTGAGCCAATGGAGCTTGGTGCGGATATAGAACAAGTAGTTACTGCAGATGATCTCATCTGTAGGAATATACACATATATATATATATATATACATATATATATACATATATATATATATATAAATATATGTGTGTGTGTGTTTGATACAACATAAATATGTAATCTATAATACATAATGTGAAGAAGTAGATCGGAGCTTAGGGTTGAAGTTTTGGCAGGGGGTCTGGGGTTTAGGGTTCGTCGAGATTCCGGATTTAGGAATCGTGTTCCGGGTACTTCAAGCCATGTTTGGGAGTTCAGGGGCTTTACATCAGGAGTACTGAACCCACAATGGCCAATCTCAACCCTGCACCCGAAACACCAACGCCTGAAGCGGACTTACGACACTCTGCTTGAGGAGCTGCAGTTTGAACGAGTTCTAGCGGCGCTGAACGAGTAAGAGCTCGAACTCTATAATTTCTCAACTCAACCCCGACTCAACCCCTTATAATGTGAGCAGTGGACCCTTTTTCAACAACTACGTCTCTGCTGCGGCAACACACCCGGCAGAAGTTCTAGAAGACTTGGAGCTCCGAACAGCGATTTCCAACAGCATCCGAGAGTCTAAAGAAGCATCCATGCGAGGGTGAAGTGAGCGCCAGGCCTTTCTGCCAAGCGGTTGCGGATTCAGGGGTTTAGGGGTCTCACTACAACACTATGATACTAAAAGGCTCCGGCATGGTGACTTTGGAGTCACCCTGATCTGCAGATACTGCCTTTCCTCCGTTCTCCAGAGATCTTGCAAGCCTAGAGTTTGAGTTCAAAGCACAAAGCAGCCGCAAACCTACAACGCAAGTATATATATATATATATATATATGTATATTGCACCCAAAGCCATAGTTGAATGCTGATCCCATGCCCTCAAACATCAGACCAGAGCTGGAGGAATCATAAAGTAGAATCGCTTCAAACTCCAGAGCTTCCGGTCCGAACCCCGAAAAAGCATCTCGCAACATGAACTTGCCACTCAACATACAGAATGTCAGTGGTTTGGCTTGGGGTCTGGCGGCCCCTGCTCAATTTTACTTCTTTGGTTTTGATGCCGTGGGAAGCCTTGGCGGTTAGGGTTTAGGCTTAGGGTTTACTGAGTTTGCGGTTCGGGGTTGAGGCCTTAGGCCTTAGAAGTTGGGGATTACGGTTGGAGGTTGTCTTTCTCTCGCCTGCGGTTTGTTTGAGGATACGTGGAGGCAGACTCAACTTCATGGGCAGGTTGTCAATATGCGAATTGGGGTTATCCTATCATTACAACCAACCCTGCACTTTATCTTTAAGTACATCTGAAGAAGTCAGTTAATCCGGTGTGGCCTGCCAGCTGCTGTCCGCCTCGGCGCTGACGGCTCCCTGGCTTTTATGAGGTGCACTCTTCTTTTATTTCTGCTGCCACGTACCGGCGAATTCCAGGGGTCCGGGGTCCGAGCCAGAAACTCATACCTACCTTGGTGCGACTCCCCCAAGCAAAGCCCGTTCGGGGGCTCGTGAAAGGAGAAGTGGTTGCGAGCTTGCCACTGGGAGCACCGACAGAGGCTAAGCCCCTAAACCCGAAACAAACCCTAAACCCTAAACCCTAAACCCGAAACCCGAAAACCCCTTGAGTTTTAAACCCCGCAAACCTTCCGAACCTTCAACCCTGAATTCCCCTAAACCCTAGACTGCTGAGCCCCTAAACCCTATCAACCCGGCCTACACCCTAAACCGCTAATGAAGCAAAGGTCCTGCACTACTTAGGGGCTCTTCTTATTAATTTTTAGAATAAACCCCCAAAAACCCAATAAAAGACCCCTGTTCTACTTAGTTAAAAGCCCCAAAACCCTTAAACCCTCACCCCTAAACCCTGAACCCTAAACCCTTAAACCCTAAATCCCCTAAACCCTGAACCCTTACAAAGCCCCCTTGTTTTAAAGGCACCCAGATCCGCCGGGCCTTCCTCGCTCGAAGCTCGCGCTTCTCGGCCTCTGCCAGCGTCTCGCCGAGCTGCTGCTCCCTGGGGTTTTTTAAGGCTCCCATGAAGAGCTAGGGTTTAGGGCTTTTAGGGGGTTTAGGGGGTTTGGGGTTTAGGGGATTTAAGGGGTTGAGGGGGCTTTAGGGGGTTTAGGGGTTTAAGGCTTCGGGGTTTAGGGGTTTAGGGTTAAGGCTTGAGGATGGAGGGGCGAACAATTATTTGCATTTCCGGGCTTCATGTTGCGGCTTCCAGCTCCCCGGTTTAGAGGCTTAAGGTTTAGGGGTTTAGGGCTCATAAGGTTTAGCGGTTTAGGGTTTAGGGTTTTCAAAGAATTCCATTCCAGACAACTCGAGAAAAAGCAGCCAGACTAGACTGGAAAAGCCCTTCATACAAAACTGAACTCCAGCCCCCTAAGAAAGACCACCACAATCAAAACAGTAGCTCCTAAAGCCTTAGATGCCGGTCATCCCAAACTAGGTGGCTCGCACAGACTGCTGTTCTGCGTGATCCCCGTAAGGTAAGGCTCAACATAGCCTAAAGCCTTAGGGTAAGGCTTGGGGGCATTACTAATTATGTCTAAACCTACGTGGCTTCTCCGAGGCAGGGACCCAGTTCTTGCTGGGCTGGCAGAGGCCTGCTCGCCAGCAGCCAAGAGCATGAGGGTCGCCTTGAGAAGACAGACTTAGAGGAATATAGGGGCCTTAATTGCTAGAATATAGGGTTTTGGCGGCATATTACACTTTATAACTATGGAGCAAAACCCCTATAGCAGGTCCCTAAACCTTAACTTAAACCATAAAGCCTAAACCCGAAACCCCTAAGCCATAAACCCTAAGGTTTGGGTTTACGGTTGTCGGGGCTTCGTGGGTGTTGATGGAGCTTGGAAAAGGTAACACATGCTAGGATGGCGCAAATTCACACCAGGGTTTGTCGTGGCGTCATACTACCTGGCAAGCGACCTTCCTTGTATGTGTCATAGAACTCGGTGAAACCGGAATTTCTCTTAAACCCACCCGCTGTAATGATACCACAGGCAACCACCCGAATAATTTCCTGTCGGGTGTAGGGCTCACGCCCTCAATTCCCACACCGCGCAGCAGGGCAGCAGGGCGGAGCAGGGCAGCAGGGCAGTGCTGTTTAGGGTTTAGGGTTTAGGGTTTGCTGCAAGATTGCGTAGCGGTAGTAAAACAGGGATTGCAGGACGAAACGCAAAAAGAGCGGTTTTTGTCCAAGTCCCCCCTAGGACCAGCCAGGAGGCCCCTAGGTCCTGGAACTCTGCTCGCTGGAGCTTCCAAGCCCCCCCCGGGGGGTCCCTTTTTGGGGGGTGGCCAAACCAGCCCAGCGCCCGCCAGGCTTAACGTGGGTGCTACAGTACCCCTGTCTGTGGAACGGCGGGCGAGCGTCCTGGATCGACCTGCGCCATCGATGTCGAGGGCTTAAGCGCCGCCCACCATCGAAGGTGGGCGGCCTAGGCCATGAGTTTAGGGTTTAGGGTTTAGGGTTTAGGGTGGTCCCCGGAAGCTGCCCGCCGGGGAAGGCTTGGACCCCCCTGAATTACCCATTGTCAAGGGTGGAAAAACGACAAACGTTGGCGTAGGGCTTTGGGCCTTGTTCCCTGCAAGGAGATAATCAAGGTATTCGAGTGGATCTTAGGCCCAGCTGTGGCTGGCCGCCGGAGCCCTTGACAGCCGAGATCGGGCTGTATTCGCCCACTCTCCATAGGCTCCACCCATTGTTTGGCCCAGTGCGGGTGTAAACGCTGCTGGGCATCTTCAGTGTCTGGGCACCCAGTTTAGGGGGGGCCGGGTGGGAACTTAAGGTTCAGGGTTTCGGGTTCAGGGTTTAGGGTTATTTTAAATGCAATAGCCCCCTTTCTGAAAGACAGCTTGCTCAATCTGGTTTTAGGGTTGTAGGGCTTAGGATTTTAGGGTTTAGGGTTTTAGAGGGTAGGCTTGAGGGTCTGTGGCTTCAGGGTCTCTAACTCCGGAGTCCTAGAAGCCTGGCTCATGTAAGTCAGATGCACAAACACGAGCACGTGTGACGTAGCAGGCATGCCTCAGATAGTATAGTATAGTATGTCATGGTATGTTTAGTACATTCTGCTGTGACTACAGATATGACATACAGGGACTATAAGGGAATGCTACTATTAGTTTCCTTCCGACTCCTCTGTCACCCTCAGAACCTTGAACCCTAAACAGTGAGCCGAGACGCCTCCGGCAAAGCCGCCTCCTTGGCGATCATGTGCGGAGTCTTCCCTCGCCAAGTTGGGCTCAGGATTCAGGGTCTAGGGTGGGGGTTCGTAGTCTAGAGCTTTCAAAGGCCAGGGGCTTCCGGCTAGGCATGGTAGACCCCCTCGTCGTCTTCGTCGTCATGATAAAGACAAGACAAACAAGCGCACAAGTTGTAAGGAACAGCAACCCGTAACATCGGGCTCTTAACTCTTAGAATAGGGTTTTGGGGTATACCAGCCCCCTAAATAGTATAATGCCCCTATAGTATTCCTCTTCGAAATTGTAGGTCCCTCTCGTCCATCCTCGAACCTGTCACCCTCGAACCCTACCAGTACAAAGCCCCACACCCTACACCCGAGAGCTACACACCGGGGAACCGTAAAACTCTTAAGTCTAAACTCCGAATCCTGCGAATATGCCTGATAAACCAACCAGACAAATTCCCTCGTCCTCCGTTTACTCGCCGACCCGAACCAACATCCATCCCCTAAACCCTGAACCGTAAAACTTGTGAACTCTGAAGCCCTATCCGCTAAAACCAACACCCTATATCCTAAAACCCTAAAACCCTACAGCTCTAAAGCCCTAAACCATAAACCCCTAAAGCTCAAGAGCCCTAAACCCCACACCCTTAAGACCAAACAGTAAACCTCCAGATCCCTATAGGCCCTACACATCCTCCGTCGCGCCTTCGAAGTCCAGGGCTTTCACCGCCGTTGCCTCGGCGGTGAGAGAAAAATCATATGCCTCAGCGCTGTGTTATAGCTTTGAGGGTTTTGGGTTCGGTTTTCCGGAAAGTAGGTCCGAAACTACGGAGACCTCCATAGATTCCTAGATACCCGGATCCTTCTTGCGGAAGCCGGCAACCAGATAAGCTCGCCAGGTCCATTGGAAGCCCCTCAACCTCCAGTATTTAGCCCTAAACTCGAACCGTTGGTCCCTGCCCGGGCCCCTGTTGAGACTTGCAACTTCGGGCTCCTCGGGGAGAAGCACGATGTTAGCAGAGTTTAGGGTTTAGGGTTTAGGAAGCGTCAGAAAGCCGTAGGTCTATTGATCCTAAACTGTACTATACTAAATGCTATCGTATAGTATACTGCATTCATAATTTTATTGGACTATACAATGCTATCTTATACATTAAACTATATGCGGCATTTTACTGTACTAGAACATAGCATTTTATACTATACAATGTTAAAACATATAAAATATTATACTATACTATATTATATTGTAGTCGTTTGTACTGTATTCTGGTACAATGGCGTGTAATTATATTGTATGATACTATACGCTGCTAAATCACATATTATGGCACATTGTATTGCATTGTACGGTATCTCACACTACTGCAACTTATCATGTTAGATAGGGGGTGCATTATAGTATACTGTACTACACTGAACTATGCATTACAACATACTGTCCGGAACTGCATTATACTGGATTACAGCATAGCGCACCATAGGAGAGTACAGTATGATGTCGTATACTTCATCATAAGGCATTGTGATATATAACAACAGGATATAGTGCAGTATAGTATAGAAGCGTATAGCACAGCATATTCCATTTCATCATGTCACACATTATACCATGGTGTAATGAAAATAGTGCCGCAGATTACACTGCATTATGTTGTAGTCATTTCGCCAATTAACAAATATACAATAATTTATGTACGTATCTTGCTCTTGTATTATGATATGCTGGGGAACAGTACGGTATACTTGGTTATATTTTGTCGTATAGTATGTTGTACAGTGTTATGTTATACGATATTGTACTCGACGAAAATATAGTGCAATATACTACATCGCATTACAGTATATTGTTTTAGAAGCTTCTGTGATCTTATTTTACAGTAAAATACAGTGTAGTATTCGTAGGTCTTGTCATAACATGCTGTGTGGTATCATTTTCTTTTACCTAAAACGATATGCGATATTTATAGTGTACCATACATTATTATGGTATATCAAGTATATATTAAATTCCTGAGTGTGAAACTTAAAAGCCCCACAGGCCCGCAGGAAGCTTCAAACTCCAAGCACGAAGGTCCAAGACCGGTGACAGGAAGCCTACGGAAGCGACAGTCGAGTCCCTTGTCGGGAGAGTCAACCAAAGATCCTCCGGATATCATATTATGGTACAGTATTATAGTATTATAGTATTATAGTATTATGGTATTATAGTGTTATAGTATTATAGTATTATAGTATTATGGTATTATAGTATTATAGTATTGTAGGATTATAGTATTATCGTATTTTCGTATGATATGGTCGGTATGGTATAGTATAGTTTACGGAGGGTTCTGCACCCCTGCATACTTTAGGCCTGAAGCGACAGTAGTACCTGGTCTGGGTTTGCGGCGTTGCACGCGCTCAACCCTAAGCCCAGCCTTAGCAACTGAGCCTGCTGCGGAAGAGTGAGTCAGAAGCAACCTGGGATCTCGTCTGGTTTATGGCCGGGAGGGCATATGTAGGGCCTAAGATGTGGAGGTGATATGACTTCAATGTTTCAAGTTTTAGCGACCCTGCGCTAGGCCGCGAGGCGCACTACTCTCAACCATGATCTTCGGGTTCCAGACTACAGTTGACCCTAGCACAGACTCGAACACTGCAACATCTTCGTTGCAAAGATCCGTGAACCCCGCAAAACTCTATAAAACTGGATAAAACCATGCAAATCCCCCCTTTTGAAACGACCCAGCCCACCCTAAACGCTTGCAGAAAGTCGGGTATGGGGCTTTTTCCAAGTCGGGGTTTTGGGTTTTCGGGTTTTGGAGGTTCAATGGGTTGAAGGATTCCGAATTTGGACATCTTTGTGCTCGGGGGCCAGGCAGGACCCTGCAACTTGGGGTTCACATCACCCTAAACCCCTAAAACGCTAACCCGTAAACCCGAAACCCCTAAACCAAAAGCAGCTGGAGAGCCGAACGCACTTGTCATTTCCGGCGCGGCAGGCCTGCTGCAGGACGGACTTAGGCTTCAGCTCTTGACTTAGAGGCTGAGTACCCTAACCCCAAAAAAAGGGTTGATCTTTTCCCAGAAGGAAAGAGCTTACGTACTCAGCTACTAAGTTATATAAGCTTTTCCCAGGACGGAAGCTGCCTGCAACAGGATTGCTGGGATGCTTTGGAGGATTCCTACAAAGCCCGCGATGGTTCCCGCAAAGGGGCTTGTAAAATGGCGACGAGGTCCAGTGTAGAGCTCCGAAAGCTTCAGTAGAATTTAAAATCTACCTAGCTTACCAAAGAGACACATAACACCTAAGGCAAAATACTACACTATAATACTCTATTATAAAAGTTGGCTTAGAATACTAATATGTAAGAGTTGATGCAGTTGATGCTTCAAGCTTCTATGGCCAGGGAGCATGGAGGCAACCAAGGGGAGGAAGAGTCGAAATGGGCCGCTAAATCGTGCGGGCCTTTGGGGCCTAACCTCTAAATCTACATCCCAACGTCGAAAATCAGAAAAAAAATAAACCCTCAAATCTCTGAATGTAGACTGAATACATCGATTGTGCCTAACCGTGCCCCTTTGGCTTCTGAAACCCCCCACCCTAAAACTTTAATGCCTCACCCACTAGTGCCTCCAGCCCTAAACCCCGGACAAAACCCCTAAACCCTGGACCCTGCACTCCTGCCGTAAACAGCACATTCCCGCATCATCCAACAAACTTGAAGCCATAATCTGCGAAACCCTCTATCGCCAAAACTTTGATCTCTGCATCCACGCGCATGCCCGCACGCCCACTCTTCACTCTCTCTCTCTCTCTCTCCCTCTCTCTCTCTCTCTCTCTCTCTCTCTCTCTCTCTCTCCCTCCCTTCTTCCCCGGGGCATGAGGGAAGTGCGAGACCCCTCGGCCTTGAAGGCCCCCCCGATGTTTGTAGGGGCTTTTTGGAGGGGCGTGAAAAAGCTGAGTGTTTTTCCCCCTGTGTTGAGCAAATTCGAGTACTACTTAGATATGTTGGATACAAGGTTCCGAACACTCGTTGTGCAGTGCAGCTACTTTTCGCCGTCGGGGTACTTTGTCGTATTTGTTGCTACCGTATGTCTCAGCACATGAACAAGTCTTGGATCACCGATGACGTTTCCCCCCAGGCTTTTGCACCACCCTCGAGTTCAGTGCATCACATATCACGACAGGAAAGGAAGCCTGCAATATGAGATTTACAGTACGCTTCGGGGCGACGCTCTTCGTATGTGGTTGACCGACTACTCATGTTTACATGTTGTCATGTAAAGAGGGCGAGGTACTGCTTTACTCCCTCCCTCTCTCTCTCTGTCTCTATTTCTCTCTCTGTCTGCATGTCTCTCTTCCAACCAAAGCTCTCTCTCTCTCTCTCTCTTTCTGTTTGGCTCTCTGTGCCTCTCTCAACCGCGTAGAGTCATAAACCCTGCTGTAAACCCTAAACCAGGCACTTGGCCTCGTGCAACGGCCACCGGCCAGGCCCGGCAGTCGCATTCGGGGCCGCCGCGGCTTCCAGCAGCTGCCTGGCAACCACGACCTGAGGAGTTCAGGGTTTCGGCTTACAGGGGTTGAGGGCTTCAGGGTTGAGGCTGACAGGGTTGAAGGGTTTAGGGTTGAGGCTGATAGGGTTGAAGGGTTTAGGGTTGAGGCTTATAGGGTTGTGGGGTTTAGGCTGTAAGGTGTCTTCCCAGTGGGGTTTTACACGGTTCTACAGTGCTGCCGAAGGTGTTTGCGTGGTTTGTAAAATGGGTCTCTTTCCTATCAGATGCGTCTTTTTACAGGGTTGAGGGTTTAGGGTTTCGTACGGTTTGCAATAGTGCTATATAGAAGATATCGTCTTAATACTATGGGAACAAATTCATGCTACTTGGGGACCTATATTGGGGTCACTTTTCTGCTGAAACTCCCACCTGGAGAGCCCTGTTTCACCCAAGCACCGTCAATTCATCTACATCCGAAGCCCTAAATCATTCCTCAGGGCTTTGGGTTTAGGGTTTGGGGTTTAGGGTTTCAGGGCTCCAAACTACCCCCGAAGCCGTAAATCCTGAATCCCAAGCTTACAGGACTGACTACGCGTCTGAGCATTACTGTATGTTTCACTGCCCTTGAACCTCAGCCCTACCGAACTACAAATCCCGATAATTCCTACATCAGGGGAAGGCTACTGAATCCTGGACAATCTTGCGCCCACAAACGTAAAAACAGTCATGTTACCCAACCCTAAGCTCCAACACTGTTTTTACCCCCACTTTTGCCGTTTCCGAACCCTTGGCACTGTGAAAGATACTATAATGCTACCCAGACCATATCAACAAACTCGACTATCGAGCAACTCGACACCATTATATGGCCTCTCGTCGAGTCCAAGATCACGGTGCGATCCTCACTATTGGGAGATGCAGGCCTGAAGCCCCAACCCCTAAACCCTATACGCCTAAACCCAAACCCAAATCCCAAACCCCCATGCCTAAACCTAAACCCCAAACACCCTGGAATCCCGAACTCCGGAGTCTCGCAACCAGAATTCCTAGCAAAACTCCCACACCCCCAACCCCTCAGCATTGCTCGATCCAGCGACTACTCGCACGTACGTATGCTCAATGTAAATGCAAGGGCCTCTACAACCGTGCAAAAACCGTCTTCGAACAAATGAAACCTTCAAGCACCCTACAACCCGAATCTATAACAAACCATACCCAACCGCCCCAGCCACTATTTATGCAAAGAACCTGTAGTACAACCTTGCTTTAAAGAGCATGCTACAGAAAGCTGAAGCTTAAACATAACCCTAAACCCTGAATACAACCTCAGCTGCGGCCCAGGAGACGGAGGCTCCCCGTGTGCCAGACACCGCGAAGAGCAGCGGTGTAGATCCGTCAAAGGCCCGCGACTGTGGGTCTAGGTTCTGCTTGCCTGGAGCTTTAATGGTTAGGTCGGGTTATGGTTTCAAGGGGCGTAGGGTTTTAATGGGCTCAGGGAGAAATTTTAGATGAGTTTAAATGGGTTTAGGGTTTTGTGTCTTGTAGGTTTAGGGGCTATGCTCCGCTTGCTTGGAGGTGTAGCATACTATAACGGGTACCATGAGGGGAACTGTGAAGAAAGATCTGCTTGCCTGGGAATGTCGGGTTTAGGGCTTGCCCATAGGCCCCAAAGTAGTTCCTTTTTGGGATTACCTTAAAAGATTCTAAATATGAACCCCCAAAAGGGACTACTGTGGGGCCTTAGGGTGATGCCTAGGCATGAGAGTGCAGGCGTCGAAGTTGTGCTTGCGAGGGATTATGTCGGGTGGATGGGGGTACTAGACAGATACTATCAGGCACCCTACGGGTGCTATCGGGGTGCTACAAGGGTACGAAAAGCAATACGGTTTAGGGTCTAAGTCCAGCTTCCCTGAGGTTTAGGTGCTACAAGGGCACTTTTCGGGAAGCAGGTCGTGGGGTCGACTTTCCTGAAGTCGGGAGAGTTTAACGGGCGTAGGGAGCTAGGGTAAAGGGTTTTCGTGTCTAAGCTCTCTTTGCCTCTGCCTAAGCTCTCTTTGCCTCTGACCAGCCGACAAGAAAGTCGCACTCTTGACGCAGGAAATAGAAAGTGAGGATGTGTTGGGATGAAGGGGAGCCCTTCATAACACGGCCTCTCAAAAAGGCACTAGATTGGAGCAACATAGATTAAAGACTTGAGGTTGGAAAGTACAAGGCATCGTGGATCAGTTCCTGGCCCAGGCTTGCACTGCGAATCCATCTAATATTCCTGAGAACGCTCAACCACCCCTGACATCGACTGAATCCTCCACGCTACCTGTTGCAGACTGAAACCTCGACGACCCAAGGGCTACGTCGAGCCCTGGTCTTGGGCTGTAAGACGTGCCCAAACCTTGTTGAAAGCGAAACGTCCTGGCTCCTACACCGCCGCGAGCCCTGACACCCCTGAACCCTTCTATCCGAATTGGTATTTTCTGGACATACGAAGCCGTAATAGACCCTTAAACTTTTGGGCCTTCCAGATGAGGAACCCGAAAACGGCACCCCCTCCTTGCCGAAAATCTCATCTCGGCCTAGCAGGAACGCCGTCAGCTGGGGCAGCGCTGCCCTGACTGCGTAGAAGAGCACATTGCAGCCCTCGGCGTCCTCGAAGGGAAAGGGCTCAATGGTTGAGAGGGGCTCTGTATGGTTTATGAACGAACGACAGGATGAATAAATGGTTAAATGTATGGATGGAAAAGTACATGTATGAATACCGGTTATGTATGTGGGCATGTACGTCTGTGTCTAAGTCTATATTTGCATACACCAACAACAGAACATAATCAACACAATCATCAACAACAACAACACCAGCAGCAGCAGCAGCAGAAGCAACAACAACAACAACAACAGCAACACCAACAACAACAACAACAACAACAACAACAACAACAACAACAACAACAACAACAACAACAACAACAACAACAACAACAACAACAACAACAACAACAACAACAACAACAACAACAACAACAACAACAACAACAACAACAACAACAACAACAACAACAACAACAACAACAACAACAACAACAACAACAACAACAACAACAACAACAACAACAACAACAACAACAACAACAACAACAACAACAAACAACAACAACAACAACAACAACAACAACAACAACAACAACAACAACAACAACAACAACAACAACAACAACAACAACAACAACAACAACAACAACAACAACAACAACAACAACAACAACAACAACAACAACAACAACAACAACAACAACAACACAAACAACAACAACAACAACAACAACACAGCAACAACAACAACAACAACAAACAACAACAACAACAACAACAACAACAACAACAACAACAACAACAACAACAAACAACAACAACAACAACAACAACAACAACAACAACAACAACAACAACAACAAACAACAACAACACCAACAACAACAACAACAACAACAACAACAACAACAACAACAACAACAACAACAACAACAACAACAACAACAACAACAACATTTCATTCACACGCAGCGGGAGGATACTGTCTGAGGTGAAACTTAACGTCCACGCTTTGCGAGGGATCGACCTGCTGCTCTGCTTGCTACTTGCGCGGTCACTTCATGACGAGCCGTGCCTTAACACAGCACTCGCACACGCTCCGCCCCTCAAGGCTGCAAGCAATGAAGTCGGAATCGGACGTGTCTTCAGTGACTCGAGCTGCAGACTCTGGCACTAATGAAGTAGTTAACCGGCTGATTTGCAATGTATCGCTGACTGATTGGCGACGTCCATTTTGCACACTGCTGTCTCGCGAGAGTGTCTAGCCTCGCTGTGAAGGCTCGGTACGAACCACTAGCTCTATGTTATAGTAGAGGCGGTGAGGCAATGAAACACTCAGTAAAGGCAGGCCAGGCGCCATTTCCAGCCCGTTGTTGCTATTTGTAGATGGCGGAGCAACTCCTGCCGGACTTGTGCTGGTGACATGAAGCTCTCCTGTCCCTGGATGGGAGATCGTTGAGGTCACAGCCTTTGGCGGTGGTCCCAGGGGAGAAACTCCTCCCGGGACTCCACCTTTCACTGGCACTCCAGGTGCCTTACCTGGGCCCGGTGTCCGATCTGTGCTAGATCCACTTCCTGACAGGTTAACAGGCATCGGAGGCGGCGGGCCCTTAGGCCCAGCTGCTTTAGGGGCTGCTTTAGGGGCTGCTGTGTCTTCGGAGTCGGACTCCCGAATGGCGTCACTGGCTGGCGGCGACCTGGATAGGTGGGGCCGACGTCGCACTGGAGGAGGGGTTCGGGAGGTCGCTCTGCTGCCACTCTTCTTCGGTGTTTCAGGCATGGCTTCTACAGTCGAGACAGCTGGTGAGTTGAGCCTGTACGAGAAGGCAAGTAGAGCTTCCAGAAAACTTTTGGCTGACAACTCACTTGCAGATCCGGGCCCACGACTGCGCACGGAGCTTCACATGCGACCTCGGGGTATACTTGCTGTCTGGTGATGAAATTGAAGTGACCTTCAGCCTCATAACATAGATTTTTGCGTGAGCAGCTGCATTATCAGTGTGGGGAGGGACTCCACCATTAGGTGAGGGTCCTCACGATCAGAGCGGCCTGTTGTCGCCTCCGTACTTAGTACCTGATTTCAGGCTCTGGTAGTACTCTATGACAGAAGGGGGCACTTCGGAAGGGGTGAGAATGACGCCGTTCTTGCTACGGAAAAATTGCACCCCTACCTGCATGGCTCTGCGTGGATCGACCGCCACCAGCATCGACGAGCTATCTCTGAATCCAGAAACACCAGGTCTCCCATAGTCCCGATCCGAGACGAAGTGAACATGCTGTCGTCCCTCTCTGCCACGTCCGCCTTTGCCGCGGCCCTTGGAAATCTTGTTCTGAGGCAGAAGGCCTCGTTGGCGTATGGAGTCATACAAGGACCAGAATGTGCCATGATACAGCATTCTGGGGAGCATCTCCTCCGTGAGTTCCTCCAACACCTCATTGGAGTCCACATCAGAGCGAGAATGTCCTTGCAGAGCCCTGATGTACTTCTGGCCTTGGCAATCGCCCAGCTCGTACCTGCCTTTTGCGTTACTCCGAACGACCTCCATGAGGTCGCCTGCCGTGGCGTGCTGGGCCTGCACTCTTGGCCATCTCAGGACGTCCTCTAATTTGGCCCAACCAGCTGAAGTGACGCTGATGTAGGGTTTATGTCCGTGCCGGAGCGAAGCTGCTAGAGCCTTCGAGACTTCGAACGAGAAGCTGGTCTCCGGCTTCGTAGAGGCAGTGCAATAGTCCCCTAGATCGCCTGGTTGGCCCTCCCAGGCCACTATAGTGGAGCTACGTGGCGTTGTTGAGCTGTGGTCGATCTCTGACGCCATGGTCGGGGGAGAAACTCCACCCTGTGAGCTGGACGCCTGCTCACAAACCGGAAGGGGAGCAACTCCTCCTTCCTTGACTCCACTTGACGAGGCTTCGCCAGGCAGTTCGTATCCCAACGCCAAAAAGGATTCCCGTGCTTGTCTCAGTGGTATCTCCAACAAGCCACTCCACTCTCGGAGGTACTCACCTAAGGTGAGTGTCTCCTTGGTTGATATTTGCAGTAGCAGCGCTCGGATTTTGACTGCATCATAGGAGTATATCAGTTGGTTTGTTTTCTTACCACGTTTTTGCGATCCAGAGTGCGCAGCCTCCACCTCAAACATGGGCCGCACGAATATGTGCCGAGGTCCTATCCTCACCAGACAACTGTAACCGGCAGCAAGATGCCTGTTTGACATCTTGTGGAGATACACACCTGGTCGTGCCTCGAAGCTTCGCGTGCCGGAGAGGTCAGGTGTCGAAGGTAGTAGCCTGCCTGTGGCCAGTATCCCATGCAAACATTCCAGGTGTGTGCCGTGGAACGCAACCTCGCTGTCCCCTGCAGGAAGAATGTTCGGTGAAGAATACTCAAAACGAAACCACCCATTCTCCTCAGCTGTGGGATATCCAAGCTTCGGCTGCAGAGGCTCATTGGCAAGTCCCCGGCGAGAGGCCAGGAAGGTCTCCAGGAGAGCATTGGCTATCTCCGGGGAGGGTCGTTCCGCCTGATTGAGGCCATCTCGCAGCTGCTGAGTTACTGTCACCATAATTCGGTGATTGTTCAGGTCAGTGATGTTCCCATCACAGTCTGAAATCAGACTGGGAAAGGGCGTATAACCAGCTGACTGAAGAACTTTGATCGCAGCTTCCGTGATTGGGTCCCCCGAGGGAGGATCTCCACTCTTGGCCTTTGCTGCTGGGGGAGTATCTCCACCCTCGCTTTGCCCTGTACTTCTTTTCTTGGAAGGAGGAGGAGGGGGAGTGACTCCACCCTTTCCGCTTCCCAGCTCTTCCTGTCCACCAGTACCTTTAGAGACTCCTTTATATGCAGGATAGCTTTCGCCGTGAGCACGAGCGGAGCGCCTCCACTGGCGCAGGAAATTGCGATACGTGACATGCGGAAGTTGTTCACGTATCCGTCGCTGGCAGAATTCCTCGTACTCCGCTTGAAACGAGGGATCCTGTGTTGACTCAGGTCTGGACATGATGCTGAGTCTTGAGAGAAAGCTGCGGTTGTTGGCTCAAGCTGGCTTCTAAGCAGGCAGCTGGGCCTAGGCCACTGAGCTCCAGGCCACCACGAGGAGACCTGCATCACGGATGGTGGATTGCTGTTGGCTCAGTGTGGCTCAGTGCAGGCAGAATTATTGCAGGCAGCGACTCAAAGCTTTTAAAAACCCCTAGGGAGAGACTCCACCAGCTGTACACCCCTCGTTGGGGGAGAAGCTCCACCAACTAGGGGAGAAGCTCCACCTGTGACTCTTTACTAGTTCAAAAACCCCTGGGGAGTAACTCCGCCAGCTCTACGCCTAACGAGGGAGAAACTCCTCTATTTGTTACAGGAGCTCTTGCTTAGGGAGCATCTCCTCTTCTCACTTGGCTCAGGAAGTGGCGGCCATGAGGTGATTGTAAGATACCTCCCACGTCGCCGAGGCCAGGTTAAGTTTGCCGTCTTCAGCAAAAAACTGAGACCTCAACGTCTGCACATCAGCTTGATAGGCCTCTTGGTATTCAGCAGGGAGATATTTGGCGATGTATCCCGTGATATGGGATTCTCGTTCCATTATCTCCAAGTCGTACCGGTGGTAACCGAGGCTTGCTGGGGAAATCAGGTCTCCAGCGTGGATGCGAACCAGAGAGAGGTACTGCATCCCCTGTTCGACCAGGGCTCTTCGTCGTCTGTGCCGGATTTGTCCCCATTCATCGATGCCCGAGATGGAGTGGAGGTGTGTGAGCACCTGTCGAATCCCACCTTCCGGGAGTATCTCCACGGCAAGGTTCAGGATCTCATCCTTAGTGATGAGCCCAAGCCCCTTCACTCTCTCTAGCAGCTCTGTGAGCACGGCCCAGGGGAGTATCTCCACACCTTGGGACTTCTGGTGCAGAAAGTGCACCGCTGCTATCGTCGGGAGCAGCATCATGGCCAGTCGAGTTGGCGTCTGATCATACATGGTCGAGGAGTTGAACCACAGTCTAATTGATTAGCTTTTGAGCCTGAAAGCTTCGTCATGGAGGAACATGTGCAGCAATTCAAGCGGTGCCAACAT